TGTGTCCATGTGTATCCAGCTGTGTCCATGTGTGTGTTCACGTGTGTGTCCATGTGTGCCCAGCTGTGTCCAGCTGTGTCCATGTGTATCCAGCTGTGTCCATGTGTGTGTTCACGTGTGTGTCCATGTGTGCCCAGCTGTGTCCAGCTGTGTCCATGTGTGTGTCTATGTGTGTCCATGTGTGCGTCCATGTGTGTGTCCATGTGTGTCCATGTGTGTGTCCATGTGTGTCCAGGTGTGTCCATGTGTGTGTCCAGCTGTGTCCATGTGTGTGTCCATGTGTGCCCAGCTGTGTCCATGTGTGTCCAGCTGTGTCCATGTGTGTGTTCATGTGTGTATCCAGCTGTGTGTCCAGCTGTGTCCATGTGTGTGTCCATGTGTATCCATGTGTGTGTCCATATGTGTCCACATGTGTGTCCAGCTGTGTCCACGTGTGTGTCCAGCTGTGTCCATGTGTGTGTCCATGTGTGTCCATGTGTGTGTCCATGTGTGTATCCAGCTGTGCCCATGTGTGTCCATGTGTGTGTCCGTGTGTGTCCATGTGTGTCCATGTGTGTGTCCATGTGTGTCCAGGTGTGTGTACAGCTGTATCCATGTGTGTGTCCATATGTGTCCACATGTGTGTCCAGCTGTGTCCATGTGTGCCCAGCTGTGTCCATGTGTGTGTCCATGGGTGTGTCCATGTGTGTCCATGTGTGTGTCCATGAGTGTCCAGCTGTGTCCATGTGTGTGCCCAGCTGTGTCCATGTGTGTCCAGCTGTGTCCAGCTGTGTGTCCAGCTGTGTCCATGTGTGTCCAGCTGTGTCCAGCTGTGTGTCCAGCTGTGTCCAGCTGTGTGTCCAGCTGTGTCCAGCTGTGTCCATGTGTGTGTCCAGCTGTGTCCAGCTGTGTCCAGCTGTGTGTCCAGCTGTGTCCCGGTGCCCGCGCCTCCTCCCCGCGTGTCCCCAGAGGACGCGCCCCGGCCCCACCGCGCCTGCCCCGCTGCGTGATGACGTCATGGGGGCGGAGCGTGTGCGCTCCCGGCACTTCCGGGTTCCCCGGCCGGAGACGCGGAGCCGGTGAGGGAGGGCCGGGGGGGCTGAGGGGGTGCGGGGTCAGAGGGGGCTGTGAGGTGCAGGGGGCGCAGGGTGAAGGGGGTCTCTGGTGTGAGGGGGATCCGTGGGGTGCAGGGGGTGCGGGTCTGGCGAGGCGTGCGCTGTGATGGGGGGTACAGAGTGACCGGGGTCTGGCAAGGGGTGCAGGGTGATGGGCGCCCATGGGATGCGGGATGCTGAGGATCAGCCAGGGGTGTCGGGTGATGGGGTTTGGTTTGGTTTGGGGGCTCAGATGTGCCTTTCCACTTGGGTTGGGGTCTGGTCCCTGATCTGCTCCTGTCACCAGKGCGCTGACACCCCAAATCTCTTGGCCTGTTCTCTCAGCAGCCAGACATCCCAGCACCTGTGGGATRYTTACAGCTGTCCCTGAGTTTTCATGCGTCACTTTCTCAATAAATCACATAAAATGAGTAGTTACAAGCAAGCTGTGGGTAATTCTYGTGTCAAATGTCGACATTAAAAAGCCTTTTCCTTATTGCCTTCCTCGCAGTGACCCCGTCCCGCTGCTGAGGGGTGCGAGCTGCCCGCCCAGCCGGATGGCACCAGGGACATCCACGGGGAAACTCCAGCTCTGGCAGTYCAAACCAACACAAAAACTGGGAATATAAACCCGGCAGCATCTTGCCTCAACACGCTGGGGCTTTCACAACCTGTTTGGCCTGTGCCTGGTGGCTCCAGCAGCTGCAGTACCACAGAAAATCAACCCCAGCTCTCTCTGCGGCTCCAGCTGGTTGTGACCTGGTGCAGGAGTAACAGGCTGGAGGGAATTCCCTTTTTGCAGTGTCTGGGAAGCACAGTCACCGTCCAGGCTGGGAGCTCAGTGGCTGCTCCTCCTCCCCCCGCTGCTCTTGGGCCCCCGTGGGGCAGAAGCTGGACGGGTTCATCAGCAGTGATGCTTCCCCAGCCACCACCAGGTTTGTCAGCTGGGACAGRTGGAGAGGGTGGTGTGTGATGGTTCCATCCCTCACTGTGGGAATCACAGTGTTGCTGCCTCAGCCTGGGCACAGGGAGGGAGCCAAAGTAGGGCCATGAGGGTCCTGCCAGAGCTCTGTCCTGTCCTAACTCTCGCTGAGCTGTTCCCAGGGGTTTTATCCCCCAAGCAGCCAACCCATGGCCATGCCCGCTGCTTTTCCTGCTCCTGGGCTGCCTCTGGGTGGAAAGCAKGAGCTGTGTGGGAGGAGGGGGCTGGCCCCACAGCYGCCCTTGGACCCACTGTTCCATCAGAGCCCCGATGTCCCCAGGGCAGAGGGTGACTGGCACTGCACTCGTGCTTGGAAAATGACTGGCTCCATGTCCAGGCCTTGAGTCAGTGCTCACGCCGCCGTCGTGGGCTGTTGTTTTCCATCCCGGAGCTCAGGCAGTGACCGGCTGTTTATTTATAACTCCTCGGGAGACTGAGGAGCCGAGCTCTGGGACGGGGGCTCTGCTCTGCTGGCTCGAGCCTGGGTTCCTGTTGCTCCCAGACAGTCTGCCTGCTTCTCAGCAGTTTGGGGAATCAGCAGCTCTGCCCTCGCACCGGGACTCTGCTCCTCGGTAGGTCCTGCCTGGTGTTGYTCCTCCCTTGTTTCTTTGCCCTGTTTCACCCCGGGAGGTGGCTGCTGGGAAGCCTCMTGGGTTTTCTCTGCTGTAGCTGTGCTTGTCTCTGTGTCTGCTYCTACCAGCKCTGACACCCCAAATCTCTTGGCCTGTTCTCCCAGCAGCCAGACATYCCAGCACCTGTGGGATGCTTACAGCTGTCCCTGAGTTTTCATGCGTTACTTGTGATCTTCCAAGATCGCAATAACAGCCGTGGCTTTCCAGGATCTGCTGGAAATGTTCCAAAGCCCTTTGGTTCCTTCTAGACCCAGCTCTAGGGCTGCTGTTCCGATTTCCCCATGTTTCACCCCAGACTTTTGTTAGGTGAAATCCACCTCAGAGCTGCTTCCTTGCACTCGTTATTCAGGAAAATRCTGTCCCAACACAAGTGTGGATTCATGGCGCTGGAGCAAACTGGTTGGACTGGTCGTGGTGGGAGCGGAGAGTCCTGCGGTGAAGGTGGTGGGTTGTCCTCCTTGGCTCTTGCTTCCTGCAGGCACCAGGAGAGGTGATGCCAGCAAAGGAGAGTGTTTTGGGGGAATAACACTCACTTTGCAAAACTCAGACCGTGTCTTTGTAAAACTCAAAGTCTTTGCAAAACCTCTGCTGTTGCCCCTTTGTGTGCGACCAGCTCAGGAAACCAGCATGTTCCTGGAGCTGGAACACCTGTGCTGCCTCGCTGGGCATGAGGAATGYCACTCTGTGCCCACCCTTTTGTCTCCCACCTTGTACCTCCCACCCTCGACTGTCCCACCCTCAGATCTCCTCGAGTCTCACACCCTCATGTCTCCCACTCTTGTCTCTCCCACCTTCACATCTCCCACTCCTAGGTCTCCTCTTGCTCTTGAATCTCCCACCCTC